TTTCAATATCCAGTACATGTTCGTCGTAGTCATGATGGTGAAAAAATTCCACGTTCATTACCTATACTTGATAAAAATCGTCGAATTAGTCGTTTTACTAATACAACTATATTAACATCATCATCACATGAAAATCAAACATCTTTAACAAAGAAAAAAAATTCATCAAAAAAAAAAGATACATTCGATGATCAACAACAACAACAAAGAACATTTGTAACTCCACCAAATAAAACTGTTAATGATATTGATCCATCAATTGATCGTGATCATTCATATACAACCGGTAAATCTTTAACAAGATTTTATCATAGAAAATCTACGTCATCATCAGCTAATTCATCTCCTATACTTTGTTCATTACGACCACATTCAATAGCTTGTTTATCAACAACAGAAAGTATAACAACAGATTCATGTGAAAGTACAAAAACAGATGAACAACAATTAAATCCTTTATCCAATTCATCTCAATCATTAACTAATCAATCAACGTCTCGAACACCAATAAGAACAATAACACAAAAGTTCTTTTCCAAATTCTTTCATAATCCATCTAAAACTTGATATATATATTTATATACATATTTATATATATAGAAAGAGATTCTTTGTTTTTTCGTGTTTCTTTAAACATTGCTTTTCGTTTTTTCTTTTGTACACGATAACAGTGCTTTTGCTTGGTTTTCGTCTTGTTTTGCTTTTAGAGTATTTGAGCGAATGATAATCTCAAAAATTATCTGACTCATATTCTCTGTGTCTTTATATGTAATTACTGTTGTTTCGTGTGTCGAGTTTGATGGAGAGAAAAGAAAAAGAAGAACTACGGCGTAAAACAGTATCGATTCATATTGTTGTTATTGTTACTATTCCTTCTTTGACGCATAACTGTTTGGCTTCGTGTATTTCTTTCTTTTTTTTTTTTTTTTTTTTTTTGTTTTCTTTTGTTTTTCTTCCTTCTTCTATGTTCTATCTGTCTTGCGTATTATCGAATTAATATTCTTCATGTTTGTTGCTCACGATTTCAAAAAACAAACAAACAAACAAAACGTATAGTAGTAACATCGATTATTATCGCTATTATTATTGTTCAGTTTTCAATTGTTTTATATTGGAAGACATGGCAAAAAAATTCTTTTTGTTTTTTGATGTGTCAAGAAATGTGTTATCTTACGTCTAGAGTAGATTGAAGATGAAAAAGCTTGTCAATCAAACGTCAAGTGATATCAACAGAAAAATTAATAAGAAAAATAAAATAGTAATCAAGTAGATTCTTATTGATATATTTAAAGATGAGTTTTTCGCTATTAAATGACAGCGGATATTGTATAATTTGTTTTTTTTTGGAAGCAGTTACGAGAGGAGAATCAACCATCAATGCATAAAATCCATCATAATAGAATGCTAATCAATGGCTGGTATTCATTTGCTCGGTATGTTTTTTTTTCATAAGAGCAAACTATTCTGACTGATACCTGCTGTTTGAGCCTACAATGATACCTTAATGGGATGAGAAAAAGTCAAATAAGTTCGTCCTCATCAATCTTTGGAGTCGCATTGGGATTGTTTTACTGAACTTTGGACTCAAATTTAGATATTTTTGTGGAGAAGCAAAAAAAATGGAATTTTGATATAAAAATTTTGCCGATACGTAGGTCTAATGATTAATAGAAAATAGTAGTAGAAAGAATTCTTTTTCTGTCGAGATATTGAATTTCCAAATAAACTCGGTTTTTATATCATACCGGTAAAAGCGATTCTTTTTTTTTGTTTTGGCAATTCGATATCTCGACGATCTAACATTATTTTCAGCTCAAACTTTCAGGATATTCCCAAAGTCATCAAACCTATCTATAAGCAAAATGTTAGGTAGAAAGTTCAGCAAAAAACCATCTCATCTTTAGCTCGAAAGGCTTCTGGGGATGAACCACTTAGGACTTTTACTAATCTCACCAAGTATTTCTATAAGTCAAATATAAGCTCAAACGACGGGTATCAGTTCTAGTGGTTCCTTCATCAATAAAAAACTTATTTTAACATAATAAAAAATTTGAAAGATGCTTTTTTTTGGTTAATTGTTTCTATTATTTAATTTCATGTATATCTATTTCATTGTCGAAAAGATACGCTAGTACTTACACCATTGCGATTTTTTTAATCAAATTAGATATAATATTTTTTAACGGGTCATTGATTTGGTAAGTCAATACTAAAGCATGACTTTTTTCCTAGCGACATCTACAGATTGATAGATAAACTAGCAAAAATACCCAGAGCCATATAGAACACTTTCAAACCCTGAAAATATCGTCGGTCCCGATAATTTTTGGCACGAGATGTTTAAGATTTGAGAAAAAAGTGTGTCCTGCATGTTTCTTAAGAAAAACCAATGACACTCGGAAGCAAACATGATGAGAGGGAAAAATAAGTAAAATATATCAGGCGAAGAGAACGTTTGGGAAATACCTTAAAGCGAATGAAAGAAAGGAAAAGACATATCTATGTAAATTATACTATATGAATTTCTTTTAACTGCTGATTTTATCATTAATCAACGTGAAGAACGATTTTTCTATTTACAATAAAATATTTTCATCGAAAACAAAAATGACGTCTGATACAAGTATTATTTATTTGATGAGTAAATAAATTTTTAAATGAGTAAAATGAATTAGTTACTGATAGTTTAATTTTGACATTGAACAAATTATTTATTTACTGGGCAACACAATAGTAAAAATCAATTTTTTCTCTATTCACCTTGAATCAATAGGAGTCATCAGAAATGTTTAGAAATGAAGAAACATCAAGAGCAATCACTAAGACTATTGGCAATTATTGAAAGTCAAGAATATCAATAAAAGTCATTAGAAATAAATGCTTTATGTTTAATCTTATTAATGGAGACTTTCTATGATTTAGAGTGATTTCTGATGGTTTTAGGCAATTCTTAACCATTTTCAGTCATAATTCGTATCCTTAAGGCGTTCTAATGGTTTCTAGCATAGAAATCAATTTGTTTCCCAATGAATTTATTTATTGATAATTTGTATATAGTACCGAATAAATTATACTAAACGTTGACAAAAAAAAAAAGAATACTGAGTATTTAATTTGTTTTCATAATCAAATAAAAGCTCAGAAGTAGAAAAACAGTGTAAATGAAAATTTTAAAATAATATTGTCGAGATAGAACAACTTCGAACGCACTTTTGTTTAGAGAGAATCATGATTTTTCAAAATTTATTATACTAATGAAAAGAACATTCGCTTCCAAAAATGGTAGTCATTTATTAATTAATAAGGAATGAATATTAACAAACACAGCTATTATTATTTTCTTTCATATAACATATATAGACTAACAATTACATAATTGAATTTGTTCTTCAAATAATTCACTAAAGCAATAACAAGACATTGGGAGTTGTCTTGGTATTTTATTTATCCTAAAAGTCAGTGTGTCCCCTTAGAGAAACGCAAATACGAGTATTTACTCGACTCATACTTGAGAAAATCCGTACTTGTCGAACTCTGTATCTTCTTGATTGTGGATAATTTCTCTTGATTCAAAGAAAACTCGATACATCGCATGGCTGTTAGAAAAAGAAGAGAATATACTTTAAAAATAAAACATATCTAAATTCCAAAGTTTTAGCTAATCAAGAGAGCATTTTCAATTGTCATATCACTTTTGAGTCTCGGCTATGTGCATCATGTAGGTCTTAATAAGTTATGAATGATCTGAAAAGACTTCGGTTTATTGCTACCGAGATTTTGCATTTTTACTGTATTCTTAGCATAATATCGTGTCCTCTTCACGTGAATAAGGCTTAAGGGTACCCCCCCCCTCTTTTTCGATCAAAAACTCGATTTCGAGTTGAGCATAAGATACCATAGCCTCAAGTGTTGTGTACAATTAGACACATTAANTGGTGAAGAGATATTCTAAAAATACTGATAGTTGCCGGCCACCCAAAAAAATGAAAAATTGATAAAAAAGGCATTTTGGGGCTTTTCAGTCGGTATTTCGTATCTCAGCCAAAATTCCAGCTTTAGGGCTAAAAATTTGAATTTATGCCTAAAAAAATTTGCTCTACAAGATGGGCTACCTCCGATCTCGATCTGCGATATCGATTGAGCAGCTCTGGTCGTGGTTCTCGTGCAGTGACTCATATACAGAAACGAAAAGTAAGCAGCAACGGATATCGCTGACTCATCAGCTTCTCGAGACTTTATCTCACAAGTGTTCCTGTTTCTTTTCATAGGTACTTTGCATAGAAGAGAAAAAAGAATCCTGTTAACAGCATTTATTAAATTTAAAATTTTTTTCGGTGTCCGGGCGCCGCCCGGACTAGCCCCCCTCCCTTAGTTACGCCACTACTTCATAGGCAACTTTCAAAGGTTGGGTTGAAATTATGGCCGATGCAACTGACGCTAAAGATGTGTGTTAACATTTCACTTAGTTGATGTCTTGTTTTTATGCCAGAATTTTTAGATAGATATTCAACCAGAATATGAAGTGAATGTTTATATTCTTCGTTATTTTTTTTTCTTTATTATATTTGGTTCCTTCTTTACTTTAAATTTATTCATTGGTGTCGTTATTGATAATTTTAATCAACAAAAACGAATGTTAAGTTTATTTTATTCATAAGATGATAGCAAAGCTCATCTATTAGGACGTTGATGACTATTTTTTTCATTTTAGTTGGGAGGCGAGGGTGCTATAGACATGTTCATGACAGAAGATCAAAAAAAATATTATCATGCTATGAAAAAAATGGGTGGTAAAAAACCAACTAAAGCACTGCCGAGACCTCGAGTAGGTTTTTTTGAAAAACTTAAATAAATACATAGCAATGGTTCCTTTTAGTATGCTTTAGGACGATTTGTTTTTGGTCTAACAACAAATCAAAAATTTGATATATTTATAATGATATGTATTCTTCTTAATATGGTTTGTATATGTTTTGAACATCATAATTAAAGTCATACTTATGATCGGATTCTTGATTATATTAACAATTTATTTGTTATCATGTAAGTATTTATTCAAGGAAATAGTCTGCTATGAGTTTTATAACATAATTATTTAGATTTGCTATTGAATGTGTAATGAAATTAATTGCATTAAATTTTAAATATTTTACTATTCCATGGAATGTATTTGATTTCATTATTGTAATTGCATCTGTTCTTGGTATGTTGTTGTTCTTAGAAAAAAACAGTAAAATTAATTATTTTTTTCTTCAAGGACAAGCCTTAGGAGAAATTATGGCACAATTTGTAGTCAATCCAACATTATTACGTGTTGTTCGTGTTGCACGTGTTGGAAGAATTTTACGTCTTGTCAAAGGTTTACATTTTTTGGTAATGAATAAATTGTAGATTTTTTTTTCTTTTATTTATACAGGAGCAAAAGGTATTCGAACATTACTTTTTGCATTGGCCGTTTCATTACCTGCTCTATTTAATATTGGTCTTCTTCTCTTTCTTGTCATGTTTATTTATTCAATATTTGGTATGTCATTTTTTTCTTATGGCAGAAAATCAGCTGGTATAACGGATCTATTTAATTTTGAAACATTTCCCAATTCAATGATTGTTCTTTTTCAAATGTGTACAACTGCTGGTTGGTCCGGTGTTTATCAAGCATTAACAAATGATCAACCACCAGATTGTAATCCAACTCTAAAGACACCATCACATAAAGGTGATTGTGGTGATACAGCTATTGCAACACCATTTCTTGTCAGCTATGTTATCATTACATCTCTTGTTGTGGTAAGAGTTATAAATCTTCAACGTTTGAATTTTTCTGATGACATTTTAAACTTTAGGTTAACATGTATATTGCAGTAATATTAGAAAATTTTAGTCAAGCACAAGAAGATGTGCAACAAGTAAATAGATGAGAAAAACAATGCTTATTAATGTTGTTTTCTGTTCGTTTAGGGTTTAACCGATGATGATCATGATATGTATTATGAAAAATGGCAACGTTTCGATCCATTAGGTTCACAATTTATACGCTATGATCAATTATCAGATTTTGTTGATGATCTTGAATCACCTTTACGTATTCCTAAACCAAACTATTTAGTACTTATTCGTATGAATTTACCAATATGTGAAAATGATCGTATGCATTGTGTCGATATACTTGATGGTCTAACAAAATATTTTCTTGGTACACTTGATACAGATGTAACAAGTAATGAAAATGATGCATCAAACGAAATAAAGAACGATCGTCCTAACGACTATCATCCAATATCGACAACAATACAGCGGCAACGTGAGCTTTACTTAAGTCGTTTAGTACTACAACGTTTTCGAAACAATGCTGAACGACGTCAAAATCAACGGAAACATGAAGACTCCGCATTTGAAATAATTGAAATTATTTAATCGAATGACGTTAGGATAATGAAATGATGAAATTGACACAATGATGAAAATAAAAATAAACATAAAATCTTTTTCTTTGCAATCAATTTGTTGTTTCTTGTGATGAAATTATCTTATGAGTGTGGGTGTGAGTATGGGTGGGTGTGGGTGTGAGTATGGGTGGGTGTGGGTGTGGGTGTGTTGGTGTGGGTGTGGATGGGTGTGGGTGTGTTGGTGTGGGTGTGGGTGNTTTAGTTTTTCTGATTAAAAAATCGATTAAAATGGCAATGTTTTTATTCAATTTTAATCTAATTATTTCATGCAACTGACTTTTCAAAAATAATTTTGAATGAATTAAGTCTTGCTTATAAAATGAAGTTAATTAGAAATATAATCGAGTCTTTTTTTCTGCTACGCGTCTTAAGAAATCTCAATATAAAAATTAATGCTTGCTCAAAAAGTTTATGAACAAAGAAAAAACTGCAAGGAAGAAAATCAAATAAACAGTTGCTTTTCATTCGAAAGACCCAATTTTTATCGACTAAATTGAAAGATGGTCGATTTTTATCAAACACGAGTCAAGAATAGAAGATCATGTTTTATTAGAAGACCATGCACTAAAAAAATTCACAAAGCATAACAGAAGACCATGAGTTATCAAGAGTTTTGTGTCAGAAATTCTGCTGACTTTATGAAATTCAGCACATAAAAACTTGTTTTTTCAATAACAAATGGATGCTTGACTTTGTTCTTAATTATAGTAAAGAATAAGTATAAGTAAAATATCTATCGTTTTAAAATAATGAAATTCTTTGCATTTGCGAAAAAAATAAAAAAAAATAAATCTTTATTATTTAAAAATAACGAATACAGAAAGATTTGTTCTGTTATAGATAGATAGAGAAATACCTATAGTATAACAACTGGATATTTTAATCAATATTCTTTCTTGCCATGAATATCACTTCGACATTTGATATCATTGGAAAGTCAAGGGGGTACAAGAAAAAAAAGAATATATATGCAAAACAATTTTCTATATATTTCATTTCCATCTATGGTGTCATACCTTTTTGTGAGCTACTTGGTGGAAAATTAAAGATTAGATTCTCATAGAAAAAGTTTCTTCATTATCTATTTTATCTTTGCTTTCTATAAACGTAAATAAGAAAAAATCTATATTGTTATTTTGTAAATATGAAGATTTCATTTATTTTCATTTTTTAAATAATAGTTTCCTTTTATTTATTTTTGTTTTCGAAAGATAAAAAATTTTTTAATCTTTATTTAAAAAAACTTAAAGAATTTACTGGTGTTTATTTTATATATATTAAGATTGTACTTATATTTATTTCATAAAGTAAAGAAAATGTAACCCTAGTAAAAAAAAAAACATTTTTTTGCAACTAAAATTACTTTTTTCTTAATAAAAG